CTTGCTGCAGTTGTGGGGAAAAACGCAGCCCCAGTGCTAGACTTTTCAATAGAAACGGTCCCCTAAAAAACATCTGTTTCTCCCTTTGGAGGAGTAGAAGATGATGAAATAATAAAAAAAAAAAAAAAGGAAGAAGATGTGACTTGAAGACAGTATTTAACCGTTCCTTTTCTGAGATATTTTACTGGGCTCCAAAGATAATGGGCTAAAGCCTCCGTCCTTGAAGACTGCTCTCAGGGAGGGGACCAGGGACTGCTGCGCATGGGGACGCAGGAGGGCTGGACGGGGACCCAGGAGAGGGCTCTGCTCCCTTCCCACCCTGATGGTGAGATGATTTTTTTTTTAATTTTTTTTTTTTTTTTCCCCTCCTTTTTCTCTCCATGGAAATGAACAATCTCTGACTCTTGTCACTCAGAGAAGACTACACAGCGACATGGCTTGTTTACCCGCTGTTGTCTTCGGTGGATTGAAGCTGTGTGGCCTTGTCCTTGTTCCAGGAAATGCATGGACATAGCTGTCTGAAGGAAAACCCTAACGATTGTATAGTTTTCAGCACTGAGTGGCAGTTAGCCACCTCGCTTTTATTGTTAGCAGATTAAAGTGTTGCCTCACTGCTCTGTGCCACACACCACGCTGTGACTAATATCATTCAGCAAAAGAAAAACCCCTCCAACGTGACCACGTTCTCGAGTCCAATGGATCTGGTAGAGGCTTCATTCATCCGATATCATTTTCTCTCCGCATCTCTCCGAGACGCGAGGATAGGAAGAAGGGCAGAATCACCCGGGGAAGCTCACGTCCATGACTTAACACGTGGGGTGGTCGCTGCTGGATCCTGCACCCTCCCACAAGAGCGGAGCTGGGTTTGCTCACACCGACCATTCTCCGGAGCTGTTCAGCATCTTTCCCCACTGAACCCTCAAAAAGAGGGGCGTGCAGTAACAACATCCTAGCTTGTTTGTGCCATGAAAGGAGCTGGAAAGAATGCACTGAACCACATGACAAGCGAGGACATCGGGCTGCGCAGAGAATAGAAAGACCTCATTTTTAATTACTTTTGAACAAAGTTGGCTCAGTAAAGTATTTCCCATTGTACTGCTGAACTTTTCTTCTCATCACACAGCAGTGAAACACAGGCTCCTCTGCTGCTGCAAGTGAACTGAAATCAAGCCTGTGTTAGGGATCACTTCATTCCCTATTAAAAGCAGACTCCCCATCTGTCACCAGCATTTCAGACTTTCTGCAGCATCCATGCACTTCTTTGTCGCTGTAGATGTTTGTATCATGAGAGTCTTGAGCAGCAAGGGTGTCCTGCTGTCCTTACAGAAAGGGACCGGGGGTTAAGGGCTTCAGGATACCTCCTCCTCATTGCTCCAGGCATGAGCCGTCACAGAAAGGCCATTGCAGACAACTGGCTTGAAGCATTGAGGCCTCTGAAGTCATAGACTGGTGCTTAAGTCGGAGCAAGAAAGAGGGGATGTAAGGGTCGGTATCCACCTGAGGTGAGGCACAAACTGTAGCTACGTAGGCATAGACATGTTCAACCTAGGTGCTAACAGCAGGGCCACAACTACAACAGGTACAAAACGAAGAATTATTACTCGAGTAAAGGTTCTCATCTTTAAAGCCTGTTAATTCAGACTGTAAATTCTTCAGGGCACAGACTTTACGGTTGGACTGTCAGTAAAAGATCTTGCATCGTCTTCGTGTGGGCCACAGTAAAACACAAGCAGCCTTCAGTTCCTCGAGTTTCATTATGAGATCAGAGCCCAAGGATTCACTAAAATGTACTGCATTTCAGAGTTTTGTGGATTTAGAGAAAAGTCAGAAGTGACTCCTGTATAACTGATGTCTTCCTGAGCATGCAGAGAGCCTGAAACAATAGATCTAAGAGAGGCAGACTGTCCCATTCACTTTCTTCAAAATCTGCTGTTTCCTCAAGTAGGAACTTGGTCAGCCCACAAGAAAAAATCCACATCATACAGCTAAAGACACCAGAAGGCCATGCAGGCATGTGCCTTGGGCAGTCTTGCATTATTTAATTAAATAGCAATTGAGCATCTCGCACTGAAATGTCTTTCAGCTAAAGATGAGCAACTTCCCAAGCAGCAGCAAGAGCCGCACCCTTGTCACTGCTGTCCAGGACAGAAATTGCAGTGACTTCAGAGCGCCCAGGCCCAAACTCCTGCTGTATTGGTACATGATGCATTTCAAAAAGCGTGAGCTATACCCTCCCTCCTCACAGGTAAGCTTACAGAACAGTTTGGCTGCAAGTCACGCTGCTTTTTTCGCAGAATGTCAATACTCAATTTCTTGTTTTCCCTGTGGGAATCCTAGGGCAACCCAGAGGTGATTTCTGAGGACCACTGTTTTGCCTCCGTGTAACCCCTTACTACTAAACCTCTGCAGAAGCTCTGAACCCTGGTGAGCCTTCTGCAGCTTCAGGCTCTACTTTCAAGAGCTGCCTATACTAATTCCTTCCCTGCAGGTTGTTGCTCTTGAAGCAGAGATGACAGAAATGAACTTGTCCCTGCACTTCAGTTGCTACCGATTCGCTGGAGCTGCTGGTGCAGATGGGTTTGCAACAGGTTGCCAAACTGTGACCTGGAGCAGCTGCTACTTTGAATTAAAACCACTCTTTAATGACTTTAAGGTGGCAAGGCCCCAAAGACCTTGCCGTTTCTTAACAACCTGGATAAAAAATGACTACCTAAGTTGGAAATACAACTATCATAGCATCAACATCATTATTCCAGACCATTTAAAATGCTAATGAATGGTGCATTAGCTTAAGCTTACAGTAATTATTTTTCTTCTCTGAGCCTTACTACAGTTACATGCCTCTGTCTAGTTAGCATCTCCCCGTTAGTGTGGTTTGGATGGTTATTGCCTATCGGGGAAGTAACAAGATACGGGGTGGTACTGTGAAATGTGGCCTCGCAATACACGACAGAAAAAAGCGACAGGCTGGAAAAGCACTGCAGAGATCTGCCCACCTGGACACAGACCTAGCACAGCTCACCCTCTGGGTTACACACAGAGCCACAACAGAAAACCATCTAGACATGTTTGTCCAAGCAAAACTGGCCACTAACTGCACACATTTACGTATCACGTAACATGTAAACATATCTGTGCTGAAACTCCAGATGTTAAAAAAAGAAACAAGGTAGAGGGTGAAATTCCCACAAATTTGACCAGAAAAGGCTGGTTCAATCTATAATGCAACAGGGGAAGCTAGAGATGCTGGAAGTTTTCATCAGCAGAATAACTAGTTTTCACCTGCTAAGGTCACCTGGGCACCTTCACCAAAGCAAGCAGCATTGCAAGAGTCAAAAAGAACATCAAATGAACATGTTACTTAATTTGCCATCATTTGGCAGGGGCAGGCAGTGATGTATAATTATTTTTTTGCTTTTCTTTCCTCCACTTTCTAAGCTCATGATGTAATGAGTATGTTTAAGTAGTAACATAACCCGTGACTCTTAGCCTTGAAGTGCCCAACTACTGAAACAAGACGCAGAGGACTCCATAGCACTTATGTTTTAATTCAGACTAAGTCATACTGAAAATAATTCTGAGCTGGAGAAAAAGAGAGTATTTTAGAGCACAGCACTATTTTTTTTCAGAAACCTTTCTTTTGTCGACCTTAGAAGAAGCTGAAGCAATGCTTTCCCTTGAGCCCCTCTGTAGAGAGTACATGATAACGATGAGAACTTTTTATTTAATACTGTACGAATGTCTGACCCTTGAGGCATAATAATGTGCTTAAAATATACTTAACAGTACCCTCTGGCTAATAAAAGTTTCCAACTCATACTTAAAAAAATATCCATTTAGATGCTTACTTTGACTATGTGCCCAGCATCAATGGCAAAAGTGCTTCTGTTTAGAAAGGATGGTTCAGCCAAAATTCAACTTGTTTTTCAGGAATAGGAAACCAAAGGGAAAAAAAAAAAGTAATAAAAGCCATACCAAATAAATCACCATTCTCCTTTACACCGTAAGTGAATGTTCACGTGTGTGCAAACCTTACTGTTCAAGCTAGTACTTGATAGCACTTTCCCAACGAAAAGCTGCCAGTGCTCCTGTCCAACCCTCATCACTGTCTGATGATGTGGGTGCAGGAAGACTACACCGGTGGTGGCAAAGGCACAGCAGGAACAGGCTCTGCTACCATCTCCAGCAACGTTTCAAACAACTCCATACCAGACTTGTCACCCACAGGTTTTGACCGTGGTCTGTCTGCTTTTCATTTCCACGACAATGATTCATATTAATGTAATTTCACGGAGGCAATGGAATCACACCAAATTATAAGAGATAAGACAATTGGGAAAAGCATTTATTTTATAATTATCTGTATCCATGAAAAAGGCACCTCAAGTATGTTGGGGAAAAGCAGAGGAGAAAACTGGTCTTCACTTTCCTCTGCCAGAGCTGGCAGACCTTGTAAGAAATACAAGGTTTACAAAGGGCTGAATTAAAAAAAAAAAAAAAAAAAACTGAGAAAGGGGCTACAATCTCGTCCACCTGATGTTAATAGCTATTACTAGAACTCAGCAGCTGAGCCAGTGTTTCCACAGCCGTTCAAGAGCATAAAAAGGGCAATCTCTTCCGCCGGCCATTTTAATGAAAAATACGCTGAAAATTCCCAACAGGCAAACCCCATTTTTTTAGTAAACAGAATTGTAACCCTTAAGACAGATTTTCTGCAGCTGGCTTTTAAGCTCACGAGTACAAATTTGCAGGTACAACCTTCAGATGACAGAACATAACCACCTCAGTACATGTGGCTGCACACAGCTACCAAGGGGCAGGTTTTTGATCCAGGCCTAACAAATGCATACACTGAACAGCAAATCAACCCACGGTCAATGAAAACAAATACACAGAGTGTGGGTACTTTGTGGATAACCGTTTAGAGAAATGGCCCCTCCGTCATCTGTCTTGACAAATCCACTTTGCATGTACAACTGCAGGAATGAGGCAGGCAAGTCAGCTGCGAGACGTATGCCTCATTTGTTTGAAAAGCTGGCTTTGCACTTTGTTGTTTAGCCTGCAGAAATAAGAGGATATACAAGTATCTTTGAAAACTTATGTTGACTTCTCACAAAACAATGAAAAAATGCCTATATTTTTCTTCTGTTCATTTCTGACTATTGATTTCTGCTTGCCCTTTGTTTCTCTGATTCCTGGCCAGCTCCACTCGCAAAGTATTACCCCTGAGGCTCAAGCCTTTCAAAGAGGATACAGCACTCTCTGCGGTTGCTTTATCCTTGTAATCGAGAAAAGCCCTGTGCTGTGCTCCTTGCCAATTCAGTCGTAAAGGAGTTGCGTGGAATTCCCTCAAAGCACATTTCAGCTCGCTCACTCTTACGCTGGGAGGTATGTTCCCCACATACACAGTAGTAATCATGCCAGATCCCTCTAATCTGGGACTTAAAGAATCACTTTCAACATAATGTTGTCCTATTTGAGCCGATCCCATAGCAGCCTGCGGTCTTGTATTTTCAGCCATCGCCTTCTCATTTAACGCTGCTGGTGTGTTGGCACTTGCCAAGTCTGAATGCTCATCCTGGAGGGTAACATCCTTGCCAGTCTGCTTCTCTCTGTATCGAAGAACCTTTAGGATGGGGATTTTTCCCAGCATCTCATAGCTGACCTAAAAAGGAGGAAGACACATACAATTATGAGGCTTCTCGCCTTCCAGAAAAAGACGACGACCATCACGACCCATTTGTGCCATAAAAAGAGAGGAACCTTATTATATTGCTACCATTCAGAGTGCCAGAGCATTCAAAATGTTACTAATTGCTGGCCTGATTCTGAAGTTGCTCCCTAAATACACACTGCAGGACAAAAATAAACATTAGCTACTCTTTAAGCAAGCAGCACAATCTAGATCCAGCAGGAAAATCAAAACCAAAAACTCAGAACTATTCGATTTTGACATTTATTTATCACAGTGCTTTCAGATTCGCATTCTCATTGCTGTCCCTTAATATCTGCTTTGACCAAGGGCCTGTGCTCCTGCTCTGGCAGAATCTTACGTGCCTACAATTCATCAGACCATCAGGCACTTTCATTCCGCAGACCTCCTTGCGCTTTTTTTCCCCCAAAACAGGATATCCCGTAGGCTGGGTCATACAATGGGGAGGGACGACGGTGTTCAGTTTGCAGCTGGGGAGCATGCCTTGTAGCTGGGCTCCTATGAGTGTGGGCCCAGCTGGAAGCACGTTCTCTGGTTGTGGCACATCACCGCAGCCTCCCTCTTGTCATCTGAGCTCACACACCACCCGCAGCTACTCATCGGATCCCACATCACTCTGCTGGGTTGGATTGCCCGGACACGACACTTCAAAACTGTGAACGCTCTATCCCTTCTATCCATCCCCAGTTCACAAGTAGCTTTTCTGGAAGGGCTCTTCCTCTCAACAGCTGAACCCCATCCATCTCAGGCATGAGATGCCCCAGGCTGTGCTCAGTGACTGGCAGGATACGCAGTGGCTCCCTCGCTAATGCGGTCTAGCTCTTGGCTTGCAGACTGCAGTTGGAAGGAGGAATAATTCGTACTTGGCTACTGGACAACTAGAACATCCATCAACACAAGATCCAATTCTTAAATTTAGGGAGCAAAACAGAGCCTAGGGAAGCGACGCCTGAGCTAGGAGAGACCCATGGCTAGTAGCCCAAACAGTGTGAGCAAGCCACTCTAGCAAGGTACTGCACCCAAGCTCGTAAGCCGCTACTTCTCAGCGCACTGTACCGGACTAGCACCAGCATATCCCTGCTAGAACATGCCTGCAGATTTCCCAGCCCAGATCTCTCTCGGAGTCCCTGAATTCCTGGTTCTACAATTACAGTCAGAGCGAGTTTGGATCTGGCTGCACCACATAAAGTCTAAAATTTACAGATCTCTAGAGAGAGTAACCCAGCCCAGAAGCGACTCGAGTAAAATCAAAGACAGGGTTGGGGCAACGTTAGGTTTAGGTAACAGGAAAGCCAGTCAACAGACATCTCTTAAACGTTCCCAGGGCTCCTCTTCTGAGGAGCAAAGCAGCAAGTTCTATTTCAGGCTGTAAAGAAATAAAAATGTAATTCGCATAAAGCCTGTCCTATCTCCTGTCTTGTTAACAGAATATCAAATAGCAGAATAGGACTAACCAGTATCGGCAGAAGCCACCTCCATCCTGCCACACTGCAGACCCTGAGTCAAGGTGTTTAGGATCAGGCCCTTTACATAAGCAAACTTTACGACTGAGAACAATTTCTGAACAAATCTGGCCTGATCTGGCAAGCCAGTACAGAGAGGCAAGGACTTCCTCTGGGGCTCTGGGAGCCTCCGTACTCTGAAAGGTACATGCCATTTTCAGATTCTGAAGAGCTATTGCTCTGTGGATTCTTGGACGGATTTGTTTTTCTCAGCCAAGAATTCACGCTGCTGTGTTTGACAGTAAGCTTCCCTTCCCTGGGTGATACAACATCAAATCAATGGCTGAAGCCATCTTACTTTGTTTTTACTGGCCAACAATTAGGAATATTTGTTGTCCTCTATCAAATTTCTACATGAAATGTAAGCTCTATACTAATTAAACCAAACAGGAAAAACATTTTTCTATTCTCATGCAACTAATCACTCCTGAGCCCGAAGCACAACCCCAACATCTTACCAAGTGTACGTACAGGTCCTTTCACCCTGAAATTAAACTCAGTTCCCAAGGCACGGACTGGGTGTTTCGTTAGAAAGATCAATGCTACCAAGGGCAAACCCTCACCACTTTGTAGATTAAGGGAATCAAAGAGATGGGCATCGAGAGGATGATCTCTGGAACTCCCCGTCTTTCAAGGACAAACCAAGGAGAGGATTTAGATAATCCAGGGGCCAGCATACTCTTTACAAAATTTCAACTGGCCAGGCTTCAACATGGCCTCTCCTCTCACGAGAGTCACCAGTAGTTTTTGACATCTGACCGGAGCTCTTCGGAGTTACTGTTTCAGGCTCCCTGCAAACTCAGGGAGATGCAGTTACAACAGCACATACGTCTTCATAAGGGCTATGAACTACTGTTTTCTGTAACAGCTGAAGCTCTGATCAAACATCACCATGAAGTGAACCTATCATTACTTTATATTCAGGCCTGTGCAGACATAACAGCAAGTAGCCTTTACCGCACCAAAGCAAGTAAGGCAGTTGATTTGGCACTTGGATTTTTTTTTTTTTGTAACAGAAAACATTCTGTAAAAAACTTACATTAGACAAGTTCTGACACTGTCAACTCACATCCTTCTGCCACAAAAGAGAGAAAGAGGATTTACCTTAAGGGCTGTTTTCCCTGGGGTCTAGGAGAAACTTTCAGCTGGGCCAAGACTTCCAAATCCTTCCCTATTCCTCCCCACTTCTGTGTCAAGGAAAGGCAGAAACTCCGTTTGGGACTTCAGAGTTTCAACTCAACAAATCAATTCACTCTCTTTTTTGGGGTGCAGGGGGTAAGAGCCAAAAGGGCAAAGGGGGCAGTGGGTGGCAGAGGAGAGGGAAAAACTTGCTCTGCTCTGTTGCAAAACAGCAAACAAAAGAACTCTGTGGTAGTACAATGTGTTGCTAATTACGATCATGCAAAAAGTTTCTTTTGTCTTGTGAGCTGTGGAGGATTCCAATGATTTATTTCCATGTGGAGAGAGGCCAAAGATATTCCTCCTCTCTTTCAAACAAGCTGCACGTTTCTTGGTCCTGTGCCGGCTGGTCACTCTTCCCCAGCCTTGCCTACTGCTTTAGGCAAGCCAGGATGCAAGGGACTTAGGCTGTACCCCGAGTCTGGTTGATCCAGTTACATGGACCCAGGCAAACGCAGTGGTGGAAGCTTCTTCCCTTGCTACCCCCATCCCTACAAAGTCCAGGCCAAACCATTTATTGATGTTTGTAAACTTTGTATTGAGTGTTGGGATTCAGCTAGATGATTGGCTTTGGCAGCAAAGCCAGCTGAAGAAGTTTCCTATTATCCCTTGACCACCAATTCCCAGGCCAGTTCCCTGCTTCAGCCCTCTGGAGTTGGCCAACAGAAGTGCTTGCGGGTCTCCACTGTGAACTCAGTAAATGAAGTGATTCAGGTTAAAAATAACTCCACCAAAGGCAATTAATCATTTAACAATCCTGCCTACTCCCTGCCATAGCTGGGAGAGCCTTGGGGAAAGAAGACAGCAGGGTAGATGAATTCTTCTGGCACACAATTACCAGGCTATGGGAAAGGAGCTGAGAAGGGAAATGTGGCCCCTTTCTGACAGAAACCTGAAGAAAACAGTCTTGGACGCTGAGTGCCAATACAAATCTCCCAGCACTTAACCCTGAGCATCCACTCTTATGACACCTGGTTTGGTCCCAAAACAACGTACTGGCAGATGGACTTTTGCACATCTCTGCTGGAACATCGGGGCTCTCTTCAAGCTCTGTTATTCCAGAACAGCAAATGTAGCCACTTTCAATATTTTGCTGGGGAAAATGAAAGATGTGTTTGTCCTCTGACAGAATGAGTAATGCTGACCCCTGATACAGCGCAGGCCAAGCCAAACACCACTTTGATTTCCCTGGCAGCAGAGGCAGTGCAGTTCTGATGTACGGCAGATGAGGGAAGGATAGCTATAGATTGGAAAGCATGCTAGGTCTGCTGTTTAATTCTGCTCCACACAGCTACCCATCTGCACACACTAACCGATATAAGATGACAGGGCTCAAGATGGAGACAGATGATGCTGCTGCCCTTCCCTGCAAGGCTGTGAACAAGGCCAAACAATCTTTAGTACAGCAGATCCACCAGCCCTTCCAAGTATTGAGGCTAGTAGGCAAAATGAGTTTGAAAGATTCATCTTTGCCCGCTCTGAGAGGTCTCTGACCCAAGACTGTTCACAAAGGCCTCCACGACATAGCCCTCTTCTCGTGTTGTCTCCTTAACCAGTTGCTTGTTTCAAGGAGCACTGAGCTCACAGGGGTTTAAAGCACACACAAAGCCAAGACAGCTAGGACGGGCCGCCAGCACAGTTGAACATTTTATCATTCATTTGCACAAAATGCCCAAATATGTGCACGCAATCCGAGGGCATATTTCTGGGAGCTGGCAGTCCATGAAGTCTGCTAGTGTCCCTCAGGAGAAACTTATGCAACCCCACATTTGGAATTCATCAGCAAAAACTGATTCCATTGACTCTGCAGCAAGGGTCAGATTTGCAAAGGTGTTGAGATGTTTAACCATGCGTGGAAGCATGCCCTGCACACGCTATCCCTCCAAAAAACAAAGTAAAATCTTGGCTAAACGAACAGCAATTTTCTTCTGACGGCAACGCTGTGTCCCTGCTAAAGGTTTTGCCAGCTTCAATGTGCAAATTTTTTGAGCTTTAAAATAACATCATTTTACTTTCCAAATATTCTATCACAGACCTGAATCAAAAGCTGTTTGTTGTCAGTTTCCATCTCTGCCACTGCGTACTAAACTCTTTCACCATTAGACCCAGGGATTCCCCCCCAGTTCATTTCATTTTGACAAAAATCTTTTCCTACTCCTATAAAATTCTCAGCAAAAGAATGATTTAAAAACCAGAAGGAAATGCTTGCTAGAATATAGTGATTTTTCCACCAACTACTCTCGTTTCCCTCTTCATGACCCCAAATATTTTAATTGGTCTGTATAGTTTCAATTTAAAATAAGCAGAGCACAAATAACTTCATAACTGTGACAAATATAATAGACAGTGTCACAGATAAAGATCACAGCTACCCATACAAAATACTAAATGAGAAAGTAAGTCGTTTCATGAATTTAGAGTTCCCAGAAACAATGGGTTAGATTTTCAAGACAGATGAAGCCAAATAATTCTCCACTGGCATCCAAATGAAGTTTTCCAGAGTGCTCAGCTCTTAGCAGCTCTTGCTGTCCTCCAAGAGCACATACTGATTTCTCAAAACCCTGAACTCAGACGCAGAAAACTTACCCTTATACACATTCTGGTATCGCCTTTGTATTTAGAAGTGTTTCTACAGCGCCTAGCACTGATACTGATCATGCTTCTTTGGTATTAATATCATCATAGCTCCTCTACTTCCTCGCAAGTCTTTAAATCAGCATTTCTGTGACAAAAGTCACAGCAAGTAATTCACGTCTTCCTCTTTGGAAAAACATACTACCTCGACAGCAAGAAATAGTTCATCTGGAAATTCTGCACTGAGAACTTACAGAAGGCAACTGAGGGCAAGTCACACCAATTACACCAAGAAGTGAAGCATTTACTCACAGAGGAACACCTATTTACCCCGTCCCCATACCTGACACACTACTTCCTTCCTACATAGCACATAACAAACAAAAACACTTCAGGAAAACCAGTACCTCTTTGAGCACAGAAATCTAGCCTGGAGACATGTATTTTGTTTGCTGTGTTAAGTAGCTTCTTACCTCTTTAGAGCTGAAAACAGAGTGTATGTATTAATGGCTATTTATCCTAATAGCTTCAGGAAAGCACATCCTTCACAACAATGCTTAGCTGTAATCCCATGTTTTCAAACACCTTTAATTTAAGCTCTTAAATCATCCTCTTGGCTTGAGCCAGCCATGCTCCTGAAGGATGAACTTTTTTGCAATGTATTTTACGCATCACACGTCTTAACAATAAAGTTAAGCTTCTTTCTGTTGACAAAACACCATATTTAGAAGTGGGTTATTTATTTACTCACTACCTCTTGGTTCACTCAGTTTTGCTCTGAGGAACAGGAATGCACCAGTAAAGCCAGGATTTGAAGGAGAAAAGGATGTAGAGAAAAGGATGAGAAAATGATGTAGAAGCAGCCAGGAAAAGTCAAAGGACAAACACTTAAATAGTTTGTATTAAATCCCGCATTTTGAACACCCTGTCGATTAACTAGACCTCCCACCTCCAAGACCCTCTGTGCAAGAGCTGAACACATAGTTACTGCCACAAGCACGAACAAAACATATACAAGTCATTCAGCTCCCTGTGAAAGAATAACGCTAATGTCTTTCTTCTTCATATGGACATGACAATTTGTTCCTGTCTTAAAACGACTGCAATGTAATGATTATCCCTGCTCTGGCTAGTATTCTCCAATATTCTCATCTAATCAACACATGCTCTGAAAAACAGCCAAAAGCAGCTTTAGATGTTAAATCAACATTCAAATATTCAAATACAGGATCAATCACAGAATGTGCTCCATTCTCAGTGAAAGCTGTAGAAAATTCAGCAAGAGCTGTATTTTTCAGACACCACCACTAATGTAGAGATTACTGTAGAAAAAAAATTTCACTGTCTCATGCAAACTGGCTAAAGTCAGTGTGGCACAAGCTTTCGATACAACTCTACCAAGCATCTCTCCTCAAGCTTCAGAAATGAGCACACAGGAGTTGTGGCTGACACTTCATTAGTCTGAGGCATATATTATAATACTGATTTTGTGTTGTTTTTTTTTTCTCTGAAAAGCAAAGAAATGCAAAGGTAACATTGAATTTGATACACTGCTTGGGATCGACTGACTTTACATGAGCAGCAAAAGTTTCACAAAAACTCAACGGCCCCTGCAAGAGACTGTGCTCCCCAGACCTTTGAAAAATGTCCCTGCTAAAGGGAATCAGACAGAAAAAAAGTGAAAAAAAGTGTTAGCAAGGCCACTTACTGAGACTGAAGTCTGACCCTAAAACAGACTGTGATCAAAAGTATGTTGGCAAGATGGATGAAGCACAAGGGGTAGGCCTTCAAAACAATTATATTCAATAATATCCTAAAAAAATTATGACTCAAAAATAATTGAACGGAAAAAATGCACTAGTACAGACAGAGCTTTTATTTATTTATTTGTAACCTCAAATCCTCAACCACAGGCAGAGTAAAATCCTCTCCCACTATAGGAATAAAAATAGTACTGGCTAGAATTGTTTGTTGTAGATACATTACCTTAACAAATTTAACTCTTTTTACTGGTTGGCGAGTGCTTAACAAACAACTCTTGATTTCCCTAGAAGTATTCACTAATAATTCCTCAGCGGTTTCTGCAAGACATGGGTATACTATTCCTCATTTCAGTGCTCCTACTGTTACTCAATCACGCAGGCTTGCGTCTGCTCCCTAACCGGATGATTTTTGGAATGAGAATTCAATGACAAAGAAAAAAGTTTTCCCAGCATGAACTTCCAGTAAAACAATTTGCTCAATGCTTTTCTGAAACTATTTGTGAAGCTGCTAAAGTTTCTGACAATCCTGGGCGTGGATGCCAAACTCATAAAACAATAATTACCAATAAAAAATGATTCATTATTTAAAGCAGTTTAAAGTCACTATTCCTCCACCTGAAAATCAGCTCCAGCCACAAATTCATCTAGCCTTGGAAAGTTAATCCCATACATCCGCTACGTAAACGGCAACGTACCATCTCTTTCCTTTCACAACCAGAGCAGCACATATTCTACCCATTCCACGTGGCCTAATGCCATGAAGCTCTCTCTATGGTACCATCTCCAGAAAAAGAACAGAATCAATTTCAACGAGCTCTTAGGAATAAAGCACATCAGGTGAGGAAGCTCCTCAGCTTACATAGACTATTATTCCGCAAACAACTATAAGAAACAACACCTATCTTAAAAGTCCACAAATGATGTTTCCAGTTACTCTCACCCTATAATCCATTTGATACCGCAACCTCAGCCTCATTAATATATTTCTCCTCCTCACCATTACCACTTAAAAAATGCTGAACACGGATGCTGATGTTTCGTTTCACCTGACAAACACATTTGCTCCTTTTCCAAGTATTTCTAATACAACAAATGTGTTTATACGTAAAAATGGGGGACTTATCAACACAAAGTTGGTACCATTAAGCCACCGTTAGCAGAGGCAACTTGCCTTATGCCATATTATTCCCTGAGGTTTCGGTCGTTTGCAGTTAGTCTTGATAGTTCTTGTTGGAGTGAGTATATAATCCACAGTTAAATCATGATCATCAAGAAGTTCTTCTGCTATGTCAATCACCTACAAGGAACGAGAGATTTGTTAAGTAGTTAAAGAACAAATTCATTAAAATTGTGCATCATTCCTGGTGTCTCGCAACATACGAAAAATCTGTCAAGATACTGCACCAACATCCTCCGAGTCTCTTCTTCAGACATACCATTCAGTACCACACAGTTCCGACTCGTCACTTGAGAGTGAGTATTTTAACTCACCTGACAGTCATGCACAATAGTAATTACAGGTGTATCCTCCTGCACTGCACCCATTGACACCATCATTGCATATTCCATGTCTGCGTAACCTTCTCCTTTTCCAATTCTCCAGCCTAAAATACATAAAGGTACACAGTGAAAGTAAACGCAGGAACAGCAGTGTGGAAAGGTTGGTAACTGTCAAAAGCATGCAATTAAACTAAGCAGTCTGTAACAGATAAATCAAGCACAGAGTTGTAACTCAAGAAAAATTCAGATCAGTGTCTCTCACAGAATGCAACTTTCCTTGTAATCAGCACTGAAATTAAAATAAAACATTAGTTTCAATGAACTCCTAAAGGATCGCAGGAGCCTCCCATTCAGAATAAACCAAATTTACTTGAATTCAGTTACCATAGAACCCTATTTACCCACTGTAATTAGAACCCTCTATTGATGTCAAACATAGGTTAACTTCATGTGGGTAAAGAGGAGTCTGGGTCACATACAAAAAGCATGTTATTTTTAGGCAATGGATAAAGTCAGTGCAAAATTTTTCACCACCAGCAGGTCTTCAAAATACTAGAAAACGCAAGATTTGATCCCCAAACAGGTACCGAATCAGCAGCTGTAACACACGTCCTTTCACACATCCTGTGCAAATCCTCTGAACAGGGAGCCCTCTTTGATTCTTAAAAAAAAAAAAAAAAAAGAAAACCAGACAAAAATTGCTTGCCTGAATAGCTCTACTGAAGGCCAAAACACTGGCCCACAGGCCCTACACCACCCTGCTGTCTGCTGGCTAAGTCTTGGCGGCGTTGTTGTAAAGCAGGCATTGATTCTTCCTGGTTGGATTGGGATCAGTGACTTGTCACACAGAAGAGACAGAACTCAGGGCCATCATTCAGTTCCAAAGATACATTTGGGTCTGCACAAAGGAACAAGTAGTGTAGCTACTGGGATTGTGAATCGTAACTTAAGACTCTCCTCCTGAAAAGCTTACAAGGCTTTATCTTACCTTTTTCAGAGACAGCCACTGATCCTACAACAACCAAGTCCACTCGTGCTTTCCCATCAAGACCTACAGGCACACTGTATTCTTTTACACCCTGCAAGAAAAACATAATTTTAGGTTCACAGAGTGCAGAGTCTTCCAACCAGTGAGGCAGAAATCCAGAATATTTTGATAAATCCAAGTAACTCCCCACGTTTCAAAGTGTTTCTTCCATCTATAGCCAAGCTGTATGTGTCTGGAAAGCTACCCTCTAGGGAATCCTAGAATAGATTCCCTACTACAGTGACAAGAATTTTGGCACACTTCAACGAGAGCTAAGGGAGGTGGTCACTCTTTTAAGCAACATTACTATTTAGGATCAAAAAGTCGTATTTTGAAACCCTTTATTGGACATCTACTTCTAAAAATGAGGGCAAATGATACTTCCTACACTACTACCACTACTACCTTAAAGTCATAATACGTAAATTCATTCCCATGAGGAATACCAGTGCACTACAAATTCTGAAATTCTCACATCCAAAGTTCATTTAGACACAGACACCTACAGTATAAAGATGTTAAGGCGCTTGCCTGAAGTCACAGGCAAAGCATCTGCTTTACTGAAGCACAACCAGGTACACAAGTCAGATCACTCTCCATTTCAAGCGGCATCCACCGCACTGCCAGTTTCTCCACACATCTCTCTAAAAGCACCTTCCAAAGCTGCCTGTGTGTTCCCCAAGACTACATTCAGCACTTTGCTGCATGATCGTCATTCAGGACGGGCCACTGCCAAGCTAAGCTATCTTTACCAAAACCTTCTAAGATGCTAATGAACAAAAAAATCCACCGTTCCTGACAAGTGGAAAGAAAAACCTCACATAGCCCTGTCATCCTTTTTTTTTCTTCCTCTCTCTCCCTGCTCATCCCCACCCACCCCTCTTCAGGCTCCTCTCTAAAGAACACATCCTAACAAAATTCTGTCCAGAGCTGCAGAAATTAAAAATGGTGTTTACTTGGGCTTTCAAATATCAGAGGTTTAGAACTTTTAAAAAGATACCTTGTGATTCATTCACTCTTAACATATGTGTACAGCATAATGTAAATCTTCCTCACACCAATGCCACTTTGTGCTAAGTTAATTCTCACAATAAAAAGCCAAACATTTTCTGAACAGAGTACAAAACCAAAAAGATTAGTAATTTGTGGTTGACTATCAGTAATAATGCTCATTATCCACTTCACAGCAGTGTGGTAAGAATTGTTTACACAGTGCTTTTTAAATATAAACTGTGAAGAGCATTTATTCATTAGATCGCCTGGTTGGGGGAAAAACCAGACACATGGTGGTAAGATCACAGATCAGATACGAGGCCTGAAGCAGGCCTCAAGAGAAAGGTCTCTTTCAAAAGTGCTCTTCAACCCTGAAAAGCTTAATTAGTTAATGACTTTAATAGAACTTCCCACAAGAAAGTCACTACAAATTACCATCCATTTACAACCCTCAGTTGTATACAGGATTACTGTAGAACTTTATTGCCTTTAGGAGGAGATAAAGAACAAAATGAATCTATACAGCTGGCCTATTCATTTCGTACAATTTAGGTTTCCATACCAAATAAAGATGCATATAAAATACCACAGGTTTCCCTGCCGAAGGACGTTAGCTGTACAGTACGCTATTTTAACACCAGGGGGCAGCAACACACCACACTTCAAAAGAAAACCGGTAACACGTGTTTGGACCTCGGCTGATGCAAACGGCAGAATTAACGTTTCTTTAGACTTCGGATTCTAAAAGAACTGATCTTTCCTATTTAGTAACACCTAATATTCTATGGACTAGATTATACAACAACTGTAAACACTAAAATATTCCTCATAAGGTTCACTAGTTCAAAACTGCAGAAGAGTATAGGAGTACTATTTGCTAGAAACAAAGATCTAACTCACCTATGAAAGTTGCTCACAAACGTCCCAAAAAGAATTCACAAAATATCAATACCATTCTGTTAATAAAATATAGCAAAAATACTATATTTCCTCAGGATTTAAGTACCAACCAGAAAATTATTAACGGTGGTTGTGTACACAAGACCAGGAATAACATACTAGCAGAACAGTATTTCGGGTAGCATCTGTTTTTCCAACTTCTAGTTGGACTATCACAACACAACACTCTTCTACAAGTTAATTCAGACCTCCCCCATTCTCCATGCCTACTTGAGATGTAGCACATATCCGCAGGATCTCCTTAGTTGCACCTGAAGGTGGAACAATCTTATTGAACAGCCCGGTTCTCAGACGTGGTGTGGGAACCAACAAAGTCTTCCTTGCCTGTGTAACAGAACAAGTTATCACGTTAAAAGGCGGTGGGCTCATTTTACACTGAAGAATTACTTTTACTGTCCCATAGGTCTCCATGTGGTCAATCATCTTATTTGCTACAGAGCAGTTAGCATTGTTGGTTGTGTAGTGCTTGTAGATGAATCCGCTCCAGCGCGGCAAAATTCCAGACGAGGTTTTATTTAAGAAATAGATGGCAAGACACACCTATTGATCTAAAGCACATGTCCACAAATGAGCTACACACGGAGGCTACTGAACATGCATAGGTCTGAGGTAAGCCTGTCACATACTCCTCTTGCAATAAACAAAAGGCAACTCGAGGCAAGGCTACCTTCGTGTTTCAGGGAATAAGAACACAATGACTGTGAAACAGCTATTGCTCTGCAGAAACATATTAATTTCCCCAAACCCTACCTGCACCTTCGCCATTTGCCTAAAAGGCAAAGACCTCCTTACATGAGCAACCTCATGAGGCTAAGGACTGGTAAAGCTCCGGTTGGAGAAATGTCAGGTGTTGACCATGAGATGCCGCACAGCGCTGTCCCACTCTCCACCTCAGAGGTTCAAAGGTGCGGTTACCTGCAGCGCCGCTAGCCGAACACCTTCTAGAGGTTTGTCGGGATCCACTTTAATCTCACGTGCTCTGTCGAACACATCCAGCTCTTTAATAGAGCTGCAAGCCTGGTGAGATCCCTGCGTGAAGACAGGAATCAAGAGAGAAGAGAATATGTTCACTTACTTCCAGCGTTAGAAAACGAGCGTTCTTCTGGGGAGCATCGGGATTTATTTTTACAGTATTGGCAGCTTTGAACTCCTGTAAACCCAGAAGCCTGGTTGCAGCATGGGAGGCACCCTGTTTTCATAAGATATCAGTGCATCAACAAGGAGTTCAGAGCAGATATGGACAACGCAGAGTCTTTCATGCTATAGAGAGGCTAGTTTCCCCAGATTTTACATATGAGGGACATATTGTTAATTTTGTGATGTTTTCTATGGGAAACTCGCATACTGACAGATGCTGAGTGCTTGACTAATATCTTGCAGGCCTCAGAAAAAGAGGAGATCCAAGCACAGTCACTTTTCCTAACTTCACCCTCGTTCACAACTAACTGAAAGCTGGAGACCAATTTCCCTTTTTAGTCAAGGAATACAAATAGATTCCTTTAAATGCACACCATAGTCCAAGGCTCTTTTAGACGAGCACTTTCTGCACAAGGCTCTCTCTTCACAGAGACTACACTGAACTTGGAAGATCTGCTTCTTAACTGAGTAAGGTGCTCAAGCTTAGCAGAGCACACACTCCTCTTCTAATTTAAGCTGCTATCCCCTTACTTTAGGGCGTAATAAAGTCTCAAGCTTCCTTCACCTGCTTCAGCATCTATTTTACCTCAGAGCCAAACTAAGGCAGAATGCTTCTGCCAGTCCCTTGAGCAAAAGCAGAGCCCGTCTCCTAATGCTGCCCATGGCCTAAAACACCCAACACGCATCCTCACAATGTTATTTTGGTCATTTCTTCAATACGTGTTAGATATGTGGCTGCACACCTTGAGCGTGGATTAAAACAGGCAGAGGGTAAAGCGTTGGCCTGAGTAACCAAATGCTTCAAAGTCCTCTTATTTCTTCCTCCCACCCATCAAACTAGGGACACAACGAAGCCAGAGCAGGAGGAAGGGTTCTCCCACCATCGCCCAGCAACACTTTGCCGGCAATAACATGGCCATCTTTCACATTTTAGCAGCACACCGTATGTTCCTAGGCTAAGACCTACAAGATGGGTGACCCCAGCTTTCCATCCCAACAGACCTGCTGAAGGCCCTGGGGAGCGAAATCCAGTTCTGAATGCCTCAGTTTCCCCCTCCATAAATATATTTATCGCATTCGTAAGGTGTTTTTGTAACCACTGATTAAAACGCAGCACATACCTGTCACGCTTTGTCAGGTACGGACACCTGCATTTCTTTATTCCTTATAAACTATACATGCGTGGCTTTCTTCAGAGCTCTGCCACCCTCTATCCTC